CAAAGATCCTTGTCACCTTTTAAGGCAATATTTTATATGTTGGACTTCATGGTGAAGATCTTTGCCACCTCTTAAGGAAATATTTTGAATGTTAGATTTCATAACAAAGATATTTTCTGCCACTTAAGGTAATATTTTGTATGTTGGACATCATGGCGAAAATCCTTGGCACCTCTTAAGGCAATATTTTGTAGCTGAACTTCATGACAAAAATTCTTGCCACTCTTAAAGCAATATTTTGAATGTTGTACTTCCTAGTGAAAATCATTGCCATCTTTCATGGTAATACAAATAAATTATCTTAACTCCTTGCCTGATGGATTTAGAGTTCCTCAGGTGGGGTCCAATATACCAATCTTGCCTAGGAGGCGCAACTAAAGTCTAGCCTGTGAAACTTAGTCTAAAGTCTTGTTTAAGGGCTTGATAGAAGTCACGTCTGAGAGGTTCAATGCCTCGCCTAAAGGACTCACGGGTCTCATTAGCCGGGCTCTATATAACTTCCCCCATGGGACTAAGAGCTCCCATTGTACAGGCTATCTAAACCCCTCGCATGAGGGAACTTAAAGTTTCCTCAAGCGAGGTCAAACATACCATTTTGGCTTAGGCCTAGGAGGCATGACTTAAGTTTATCCTAAGAAAATTAATATAAATCTATGTATGAGGGCTTGATAGAAGTCTCATCCAAGAGGTCCAACGCTTCTCCTAAAGGACTCATAGGTATCATTAGTCAAGCTTCATATAACTTTTCACGTGAGACTAAGAGTTCTCATCATACATGCAATCTAAACTCCTCACCTAGAGGAATTAAAGTTTCCTCAGGCAGGGTCTAACAAACCAATCTTTCCCAGAATGTACGACTAAAGTCTTTCCTAAGATACTTAGTTTAAAATCTTATCTGAGGGCTTGATAGAAGTCTCGTCTAAGAGGTCCAATGCCTCGGTTGAGGGACTCACATGTCTCATCCGTCGGGTTCCATATAACTTTGCTTTTGGGACTAAGAATTCATATCGTACATGTTATATAAACTCATCATCTTGGGTGCTTAGATTTTTCTAGGGAGGTGTCTTATAACAAATGTTTCCCAAGAGGAGTGATTGAAGTCTAGCCTAAGAGGCTTAGTCAAAAGGTTTGTCTCAGGGCTTGATAGAAGTTCTACTCGGAAGTTCCAACACCTCCCTTGAGGGACTCACAGGTATTATCGCCCAAGCTCTATATAACTTCGTTTGAGAGCCCAAAGCTTAGTTGGTCGGGTTCATCAGACATATCACTAGGAAGCTTATGACCTCAAAATACTCAATACTACAGAAAACACGTGTCACAATGGTTGGAAAATGGATACCACTATGTTGGACCAACCGTTGTGAGGTAAGGTGTAATTGTATGTACAATATTTTTCACCATGGTTGTGCAACCGTGATTATAAGCTATATAGCGCGCGATCTACCACAACGATTAATTTAAACAACCATTGTAATATTCTTCATTACATAATATTTAACAATGGTTGGTATAAACAACCATTGTAATATATACAACTGAGTGTATTATAAATTACGTGGAATGCTTTATTTCATCAATGCTCACTACACATATAATCTTTCAATCTGATCTAGAATAATATAATATGACAAATTAAGTTATATTAGAATAAAAAGTTCACACTCAATGCTTGACAAGAGTTCTTCAACTCCTTATCTGACTTTTACTCTTTGACATTTAGAACTTTATTTAATAATCCTAGTTCTTCAACAGGCCCTTCCTTCACCTCTAGTTCATTTTGCCAAATACTTTGCAAACAAAATTAGAGGTAAAGAAGGGAGGTTGAAGATTTACCATCATTAAATAAAGTTCTAACATTTAGAGAACAATATGCAGATAACAAACTAAAGAATTCTTGTTAAGAATTGAACATGTACTTATTTTCTAATATAATTTTATCTATCATATTATAATTTTCTAATACAATATAAAATGTTATATATTCGGTAAGGGATTGGAAAAACACTCAAACCATATAATATATAATAAACTTGTCTTTTAAACAAACATTAACAATCAACAACAAATCATAAACAACATGCACGACACAACAAACATGTCAACTTATAGAATGTTTCAGAAACTTACATGTCCCATAATGGCATCCACAATAAAATAAGGATGAAGCTTAAGTTAGATCTGCAAACTTCTGTCTATTTTGAATGGATGTCATTCTGGGTCTTTCACACAAATTTGCAATGTTCACTTTAGCTACGTCCTTGTTATCGAAACAAGCATCCCTACTTACAAGTCAAAATAAGAAGAAAGCTCACACATGATAAAACAATCTATTGGAACATAAACAATAATAGATAGACAAAATTTAAAACATAAACTATAGTGAAGACAAACCTATAAAGTAGTCATTTGCGAAATAAAGGAATCCTTCGAAGAAGACGAGTTCGCTGGATAAGTTTGGGGCTTCCATATGAGAGAGACGAGTGACAGGGATGTTAGGATTTTGTTTTAGAAAGGCGAGTGAAAGAGATGTTAAGGTTTTGTTTTGAGAGAGATGAATGTAATGTATTAAAGAGGGAGATGATTTAACTTGCTTATAAATAAGTAACATCTTTCTTCATGATTGACAATACGAACTGTGATGAAGTGATTACAACTTACACCACGGTTAATTATCAAAACCTAGTGATATACAAGGTCAAATCCATTATGTCACGATAAATGGAAAACTGTTGGTGCTAGGATTTGAACCATTTCACTCCAAGTATCTTTCACTATGGTTGGTAACTAGGACCGTTGTAAAATGTCCTTTAGTAAATACAAAAAAAAAATCAAAAAAAGAACTATTACAATGGTTAAAGGAAAACTGTTGTAAAATTGGTGTTACGAAAGGTTTATTTTGTAGTTGTTACTCCAACGCTCTATGGTCTAAGAAACACTTAGCCCTTTATCAAATCTATCATGCTTGAGGGACTGTGTAGTGATATATTTGTCAAGAACCTAACAAGGGAGAAATCAATGCATGCTCCAAGAGGGACGACGATCACGTGTCGCCTTCTAGGAGGTATAACCTCGCCCCAAGTACCTTTCACTCGCCCAATTGTGAGGAACGTGGAAAAATATGTTTCTTGGTCCAAGAGAAGTCAGGGTCAGTAGTTGATCCATGTCGCCCTAAGAAATTGAGATTCAACGGTTCATCATTGATTGAGTGGGCGGTGATCCTTCCCAAAAAAACCTAGGCCCAAAGGCCTCTATAAATATTTTTTTCCCTGACAGAAGAATGGACAAATCATAACTTACACATGTCATTCATACCTAAAGCAAAATGCTTGCATACAGAGCCATTCACCTCATGAGTTGGCCCTCTAAACCACCGTAAACATAATACCACCATACAAGGTTTGTCGCTTTCGCAGGAAAGCCCTAATCACCCTAAACTGTTATAAACTTATTAAGCCTCTAAATATTCTCTAAACCTTATAGGAATATCGCACACGCCTGGAATTTTTTACAAGTATAATGTTAATCTAATTATAGAAGAGATCATTAAAGCCAAAATTGTATTGGGCTTTACATAGGAATAACCATTCTAATGTATTAAAATCTTTTGTAATATCAATTTTCTAGGCAAGGTTCCCTCTATGAGATTTGTTGGTTCCAAATGCTAGAAAGATGCAATCCTTAAGGCTTATGTCGCGAATGAACCCTTATTCCTCTTTGGAAATAAGGGTAAGAATGCTGAAAGCAACTAATTTGTAATAATTATAGAGATAATTTTGAATTTGAAATTTTTTCATCGTTATAAATTTATATTGTTCAGCAAAATTTTTCCTAAGGAGTTGTTTCTTTTTCCATGTACGTACCCATTAATCTTTTGACCTTAACTTCCAAAACCAATGTTATTTTCTCAAATCTTCTTCTAGCCAAGATTGAGCTATTCTCTCTTGATTTAAGATGTCTTCATTCTAATATGTGGTTTGAATTTGTGACAGATTATTATGTAGTTCTCCATTTGCTATTTAAAAAAACACATGACCAAAATTCAAAAATTAATAAAGAAATAATAAAATCACATATTTACAAACAATGCATGAAATCTAAAATTTAAGAGTTTAATGATAGTACATAATTGTGATTAATCCACAGTGTAAAAATAATTTACACACCATTCTTTTTCTCAAAATTTAATATAGAAAAATAGAACTAAAACATTATTTAAATTTTTATATAATACCTTTCTTTTTGTCATTAAGAAGTAAATATAAGCATAAATAAACAAAAAGTATAACCTTTAGGAAAGAAGAGTAGTTAGGTCAATACATGTGTATAGCATATCCTGAGTACGAGCTACCTACGACTATGAGGGTTCAACTTCTTAAGGTTAGTTCCCATGATTGCCCAAACCCAAAAATATCAGGTGGATATAAACACAACACCCCTCCTTCCCCTCTTAATCTCTTGACACGTGTCATCTTGTGATTACGATCCCCATCATAACTCAAGTCAAATGATTAACAGTCCCCTCCACCCATTTTAAGGATTCTCCTATTTTCCTTCTTTCTCCACCGTCAGATTAATCTCACTTTTCCATCACTTTTCAGCCCCATCTCCCTAAATCCTACGGTTATTAGGTTCACTTTACGTGTAACACAAAACTGCTTTTAATTAATTTAATATAAGAATTTAATTACCTCCTCACATCATAATTAAAATTGGTTTAATTTAATTTAAACATGTCTCTATCATTTGTATATGCTTAGTGTATGAAAGAAAACGACATGTAGAGAGAGAAAACCATTACCATTATCTCTCTCATTAGGGCTTTGTTTGATAACGATGGTTTTGCTCACATTCTTAATACACGTACCTCTCACCATCAACTTGATAACCTAGAGAGAGAGTTTTCTATTAAATATTAATTACATTAAATACTGAAATATAATTGTAAGGTTTAATATTTGTCACTGTAAGAGAAGAAGAAGAAAAAAAATAGAGAGAGAAAGATGGGAAGAGGAAGAGTGGAACTGAAGAGAATTGAGAACAAGATCAACAGACAAGTTACCTTTGCAAAACGAAGAAATGGTCTTTTGAAAAAAGCTTATGAGCTTTCTGTTCTTTGTGATGCTGAGGTTGCTCTTATTGTCTTCTCCAATAGAGGAAAACTCTATGAGTTTTGCAGCACTTCAAGGTAGTATAAATATATATCATATAATATATACAATACAAATGCAAATAATTAATAAGAATAATAATGAATTTTTTTTTTTTTTTTTGCTGTTTTGAGTGAATGAAGAGTAGCAGCTAGCTTTTTCTAGGTTATCAATTTGTTTATCTATTTTTCTGTTTGGTGTTTTATATTTTATATTTTAAATTTGAAAAAGTTGATTTTCTTTTTTCACTGTTTGAGTTTTTCTTTTCTTTTCCGTTTCTGTGAATGTCTCGGCGTTTATAGCAGGTTGAGTATTTCTGTGATAGGATTGGTGTTAGATCTGCAACTGGAAACACAATAAACCAAAACAAACTAAACATATATATTTTATAAAATAAAACATTAGATAAAGAAAAACTACATGGGAAAGAAAGAACACTGTTGTATTGTTAATTGGTGTGTTTGTTTTTTAATTTTGTTTTTGATACAATCCTTTGGGTTTTTTTTCTCTCTTTCTTTCCCTCTTTTAGGTATCATCACATCAATCCAAAACTTTCTGGTTTTGCTTCATTTGTGTTTCAAGCAGATCTGGTTCAAAAGTTTTTCCCTAAACCAATTTGGGGTCTAGGTCAGGTTTCATTTCAGTGCAATTTGGTGTTGGGAACAGAAAAACATCATTAAATTATTGGTACTGTGTCTGCTTTTGCTTTTAGAATCACTCAGACAACCTAATCCATGTCTCCTTTTTCTCTCATCCAAGCTAAGACTTTCTCACATTTACATCTTTGGACCTAGCTAGGGTTTTCTTTTCCTTCTTTTCTTCTTTCTTGTCTTGTTTCTTTTCACTTCAACTCAAATCAACCATTTATTTTTCTTGTTAACATAACTTTTTGGAGAACATCTTAAGATCTTTGAGATCTCTCATTGTGAGGCAAAACCAAAAACAAAGCTATGTTCCATAGATCTACTTGTGAATTTGAAAAGTGGCACATAAATGTGCTATTTCACAGATTATCCAGTGGTTATTCAATTTCCAACATTCATTTGTGATGCATATGATTTATTTGAATTTGAATGTAAACGTGCAGCATGCTGAAAACGCTAGAAAGGTATCAGAAATGCAACTATGGAGCACCTGAGGGTAATGTGACATCAAAGGAGGCTTTGGTATTGGTGAGTATCATCTAACTCTTTCTATTTATTGAACTAAGAATTGTTGTGTTTTTTTTTTTTTCCAGTTTCTTTTGTTTTCACTTTGGTTTAGTTTGTTAAGTTATAAAACACTATTTTGCCAAATCAAGTTTTTTGAAAGTCTAATATTAGTGGTTTGTTATATGTTGATTTAATTAAAGATTAAAGATGAGAATTGGTATTCTAAATGGTCCCCCTAATAAGATTATGAGCAACCATGTTATCCTTTCTCATAGAATACTGGACTAAAAGTTCATGGAAAAAGACTTAAAATATTGACATCTACATGAAGTTGAAACCATAGTGTTTTAGCAGCTCTAAATATGTTTGTTTGTCCATTAAACATATTCCAACTCTGATTTTATTGCGCTGCCTCAAGAACGACGTGTATATTTTACCCGATGAATTTGTGAGGAGGTCGCTGCCAATATGTCTGTGTTGGTCTTATTGCTGTCTCAGCTTAGTCTGCCCCGATTCTTGACAAGTAACTTGTTATGTAAAATAAACATCTTAGTGGCAAATCATCTGCAGTTCTCCTCCGCCTTTAGTTGATCGTTGTTTGTTAGTTTGTCAAGGAAGAATCTATAAGTGGAACAGTCAGTATACACATTACGTTCGGCTGGCTTCTAGACGCGTTCATTGCGAATAGAAGATTGAAATAGTGTATTGAGCACACCAAACATTGTTTAGTGCTTAGACTTTGTTGAAACATATTTTGGTCCCAATTCTTCCACCTCGAATGCAGCATGTCTCTAACTTTCTTGAAGCACTCAATTATTAATTTTGCTTGTAGGAATTAAGCAGTCAACAAGAATATTTGAAGCTGAAGGCACGTTATGAATCTCTACAACGCTCTCAGAGGTACTGATGTATATATACTCGATCATATAAACCTATAAATACATGATTATAGAATACTGGTTTGCATAAGTCGCAATGATATAGCATTTGACTTGTGCTCTCATTTAATTAGGAACCTTATGGGAGAAGACCTTGGCCCTCTAAGCAGCAAAGATCTTGAAACTCTTGAAAGGCAGCTAGATTCTTCCTTGAAGCAAATCAGATCCACAAGGGTACTCAACTTTCACAAACCTTTCTTATTTCAACATTTTTTGAATCAGTATATGTGCTAGCTTAGTAAATTTTTGTGTAACTATTTTTTCTATAGACTCAATTCATGCTAGATCAGCTCGGAGATCTTCAACGTAAGGTATGAGAACAACAATCTTTATAGATCTTTGCTATTTTCTTCATCAAGTTACTCTCATGCTCACTTGTTTGCGCCATTTGTGAAGGAACATTTGCTATGTGAGGCAAACAGAGCTCTCAGACAAAGGGTAACAAACATTGTCTGCTACGTAAAACTTGGTTTATTTATTATGAATTTTATTTAGTTAGTGATGTTTGATTTTTTTCTCAGATGGAAGGGTATCAAATAAATTCACTCCAACTGAATCTGAGTGCTGAAGATATGGGATATGGACGTCATCATCAAGGTCATACACAGGGTGATGAACTATTTCAAGTTCAACAAATTGAGTGTGAACCAACTTTACAAATTGGATATCATCAGGGTGATCCAGGATCAGTGGTGACAGCAGGGCCAAGCATGAATAACTATATGGGTGGATGGTTACCATGATGATGATGATAAAGCTTTATAATATATATATATATATATACTACTAGCATGTTATGTTATGTATTGTAATGAAATGGACTTACCTATATCAGTGTCTACGTACCATGTAGGCAGAATATAGTAAAGCAGTGTTCTATTATGTGTAAGTTTTTCATAAAATGTTCCTCCTAGCTTACTTCTATCACTCATATATTCTCCTATTACATATAATCATAATAATGATAAGAATTGTTTGTTTGCATGCAACCCTTGCCTGAAAGTATTTTTATCTTCTAGTTCTAGATTATGTTGTTGTGATGGCATTGATGTTTGTAATAATTTGAAATTAGATATATCTAAAACTTTTAGAAATTTCAATGTAAAAATCTATGAGTACTTTATAGAAAAATGTGGATAGTATTTAAAAGTGAGTTTTAATTAAAACCGTACTAGAAATAATTCGTGGTACTTGGGTGCAGTGTAGAAGGAGAAATTTTCAGAGCTTAATGAGAAGGTAAATTGAAACATGTCTTGAGGGAAAAGATTTAAAGTGAAACTTCAAGAAAAAGGTGCAACTTTAATCTCGTGTAAAGATGGAATTCATACGTTTATTAGTGACTATGTGCCTAAATTGAATATTTTGAATTTGGGCCAACTTTTTGAAAAGTGATATGAAGCAGTGATTTGGAAAGTTTCAACGACATGATACAAAAATTGATTCCTTTTTATTTGGAAGATGGATACCCTCATCTTAATGAAGAAGATCTTGGGTAGAAGGTAAAGTATTCACATTACTTTGAGTGTTAAATACAGGTAAAACAAGAACGATGGTGAATAATAGAGATGGAGAGAATAAGAAAATTAGAGAAAATTAGTGTGAAAATATGACATTGTAACATTAATGATCTAACATAGATATTTAAAGTATCATACAAAATATTATAATTAATCAACTAATGAGAAAAACAAACTTGTTAGACCTACAACTAGTTTGCATGCAATCGGTTGTGCTGAATCTCTGCCTCAAAAATATAAAAATTGGAAGAGTGCAACCTGTTGGACATTTAATGTAATCTGTTGCGTCAAATTTCTGCCTGAAAACTGAATACAGCATAACAAGGATGTAACCTATTGCACATTCACTGCGACCTGTTACACTGACTTAAGTTATATTATTTTCTCAACACACCACTTTAATTCAAGTCCTCCAAGTCTTCCATACTCATGTGCTCTTTCAACTTCTTGAACACTTCAATTGTTACTCCTTCGGTTAGAAAATCAGTCATTTGATCTTCACTTTTGCAATACCCCAACTTCAATTTTCCTTCACTTACAAGCTCTTTCAAATAGTGAAATATCATCTCTATATGCTTGCTTATACCATGTGCAATGAGATTCTTAACAAGGTCTATAGTGGAAATATTGTCTATCATCAAAGTCACAACTTGATACTATTCGCTGCACAACTTCTTCATCAAATTCATCAATTATACATCTTGACACGCACACATAGACGCTGCAATGTACTCGACTTTGCAAGAAGAGAGCACCACAACAGATTCCTTCTTATAACACCAAGAGATTGGTGTTTCTCCATACATAAATATGTATCCAGCAGTGGATTTTGTGTCATCTTTATCTTCACACCAGTTTGAGTCGGTATAACTGAGCAATTTGCAACTTCTACCTTTATCCCTTCTGAGAAATAGAATTTCACAGTCAATCGAACCTTAGACGTATCTCAGAATTCTCTCGATTACTATCAACTGTGATGCCTTTGACTTACCCATAAATCTACTCACCATGCCAACACTAAATGTCAAGTCTGATCTCGTATTGCACAAGTACCACAATGATCCAATCAACCTTCTATACTGCATTGGATTAGTATCCTTCTCATCTTCATTCTTTGATTGATGCAATATTGGCTTTGCAGGGGTAGTTTCTACATTATAATGCTCCATTTTGAACTTCATCAATATCTTTAGAGCATACCTCCTTTGATGCATGACGAGTCCCTTTTCAGACTTGTGAAATTCAATGCCAAATAAATATGTCATGAGACCAAAGTCGGTCATTTCAAACTCCTTCATCAAATCACCATTGAACTCGGCAATATAACTTTAATTGTTGCCCATAATCAATAAATATATAGAGACATAAGACTATTACTCATTTGCTCGCATGCTTCTTTACATATACACTGTTAGACGACAACAATGATCTAGAAGGGGGGTTGAATAGATTACTTATTCTAAACAGAGTCGACGCTTAAGATAATTTGGTTTTTAAAAGTTTTAAGCGGAAGCGGCTGAGTAACTACAATCGTCTAAACGAACAGTTACCAAAAAGATTGAATATACGCTACGCCTATATGGAATACCGATAAAGACGAGAAAATGAATCAATAGTTTGAAAACGAATCAATAGGATTTTGTTCACTCAAAGTTGGTCAATTTCCAATGCTTGTAGAATATAAACCAAATTGAAAAACAACTCAAACGTTTGTATTCAAGCAATTAGTCAAACACTTGGTGTGCGACACACCCTAAGTAGAATCCAATAAGTGAATGTAGTGCTAAGCTTTTCCGATTACAATCAAACGGATTGTAATGAGGTTTCTAAAAATGTTTCAGCACTATCATACACTAGAAATTTAATCAACCAATATGTTTACACACAAACTCAAAATTCAGCAATGAAAATAGTAAAAAGAGAGAACACCAATTTGTTGAGGTAGTTCCCCCGTTGCCCTCGCTTGGACGTTATCACCTCGATGATTCATAATGCACAACAAAAATGATTATGTGTATTTGTTGAGAAAATACAAGAAAGAGGATGAAGATGATGAGAACCAAATCAGTGTATATTTTCACTTTTCTTGTTTCTTTTATGAAGAATGAGCTAAATCAATATATATATATATATATATATATATATATATATATATATATATATATATATATATATATATATATATATATATATATATATATATATATATATATATATATATATATATATATATATATATATATATATATATATATATATATATATATATATATATATATATATATATATATATGCAAATCTATATCCAAATAACCAACATAACAGTCACTTTGAATGATAAACATAACAGAAAATTAATGAGAAACGAGCGAACGGTTGACCTAAGAATAGAGGGGTCGAACTGAGCTCTCATGAATTCAAAATTATGCAAAAAAACGCTCTTTACACCGACCAGAACAGGTTCATGCATCAATGCAAAGCAACCCAATTTTGACAAATATAAATGCACATAGTATAAGTCGACCGGAGGGTCGACGCAGACTCTCCTGAGAGCAAATCACAAAAATTAACTTCTGCATGAGTCGACCTAAGCAAGCTTTGAGTCGACTCAAACACTCAGAACTTGCAAAAATACTGATTTTGGTATGTTTAGGTATTTCTAAATGTTCCTAACGCATATCTAACTCAACCAACATGATCAAATCACATAGAATGCATATAGTTCTTTTCCTATATGAACCAAGACACATTTTGACAAATGTTTGACACTAGAAAAATAACGGATGCATATACGACTCGATGATACCGTCCAAAGTACACTTTTTAACTATATATGTTTTGACATCATTAAAACAACTATAACCAAGTATGAGACACTTTGCTCTCACATACTCCCCTTTTTTTATGATGGCAAAACAGTAGCAAAACAGTTGAGCATAATGTGTAGTATCATCCTCCCCCTTACTCTATGCATTTATCTAGAAACAATCTGCATTGTTTGACCAGTCTTGTAAAGTGATTTGTTGTTTTTGCATTTGAGTACAATGTGTAGTATCATCCTCCCCCTTACTCTATGCATTTATCTAGAAACAATCTGCATTGTTTGATCAGTCTTGTAAAGTGATTTGTTGTTTTTTCTTGGTCTCTTCTCCCCCTTTGACAACATCAGAAAGAAATAAGATATAGGTCAGCAAAAGACATAGTATATTGAGATAAGCATATTCACCGAATTAGCAACAGGATAACATTAACAAACATTCACATATAATGAAGTTAATGAAAGCATATAAAAGGATAAATAGATAACACAATAAATGACCAAAAGAAGTAAGTGTCATTACAATTTTAAAGTTAAACATAGTTTCATGTCTTAGTAATTCAAACAAATATAATAGGAAATGAACATTGGAATGCAATGAACCATATATAAAATGAAACTCACAATGATACACAAAGACTCCTCAATGCCTCCTCCCCCTAAAATGATGGCCCCTTTCGTGAAATAGATAGTCATGAGGTGGAGGAAGTTGTTGCTCATCTATCTGCTTCGTAAGTTATAGGACAACTCGATTTAAAACGTTGAAACTGGTAGTGAGAGCACGATTTTAACTTGCAGCAGATTCAACCATGCTATCAAAATGACCCATCACTGTTGTGGCGAATGTGTTGAAGTTATTCATGTGAGTCTGAAGTTGGTTCTGCAAATTTGTGAACCGCTCATCCTGGGCATTAACAAAGTTTTGTTGTTCGAGCTGCATACTCCTCATCATTTCGAGGAGTTCTTCATTATTCTGTTGGGGACGTGGAGGTGATGGAGGTATGTAATTCTAATCAAGTGTCTCTTGATAATTCCAATTTGTTGTTTGTGGCGTGTAATTTGCACCATGTATGTTCCAACCCGTGTGTTGCCAGGCACCCCATCCTTAGTTTCCATCTGAGTCCAAAAGGGGTGATTATTCTAGCCAACCACTGTTATCTTGTTCATCAGTATCCATTTGATTTCCACCCTCTTCTCCTTCTTCTTCTTCACTCTCATCAGATTCCTGCAGACGAGAATCGGTTGCCTTAACAATAAACCTGTAGCACATCTCGCGAGGATCCCAAATATAACCCATCATAGTTAGAGTATTTTGAAAAAAATCTTGGTCGGTTGTCAAGGTTGTGTATGGGATACCGAGTACTACTACCTCAACATTATTGAAGACAGATTGGATGAAGGAACCATA